TATTCACCATACACTTATTAAAAGGGTTTATTATGCATGACAACTGAGCCTCTTCATTTGACACGTATAAGCACTGGAAAAGCTAGCCAATGACATTTGAGAGTTGATATTAATTAGCATATTCTGGTTCCGACAAATCATAATAATAATAATAATAATGGTTTAAATGATATAGCGCTTTTCTATGTCCCTTCCAACTTAAATAATATATAATAATTTGTAACTCTCATTCGCAATGACCTAACATAGTACATTTTGTGAGCACTTGAAAGCAACACAAATGATTATGATTATCTGATGTACTAATGTAATATAATGTGATTGAATTTAACAAATGTAATCTTTTTAGTTGCATTGTGCCCTGCTGCAAAGACATGTTACAAACATTGAACCATTGGAATATGTGCAAGTAATTTAAAAGCAGGCAAATTAAATAAATATTCAAGCATTAACAGTGACCTCGAGTGGGCAGGTAAAGAGTCGATAAACGGCATCATAAAGAACTCCCTGCTTGAGAAATGCTCCACTCAAACACATTGCATAAAAGCAGCTGTATCAGGCCGGATATTCAGAGAAGCTTTAACATCCAGTTACGAGTCGACACACAAAATCACTCACCATCTTCAACATACTCTACAGTAAGTGTCTCAGATGTGAGTGCTTTGAGATACACTGTACCGTACAAAGAGCAGGCCTAAATTCTGTAATCCCTGCATGTCAGAAACTCCGCCGTGTCTCTGTTTGCTATGCCAGCACATGTCTCTTCTGTCTCAAGCAGTGTGGTGTGGTGAGCAGAGAGAGAGAGTTAGCAATTAATTAAAAATGTGGCAATTCGTCTCAGCGCTGTCGTCTCCTCCACTCGGGCTCAGAGGTGCTACTTCACTGCCTCTGCTGTTATTAATCTATTTATTTTAACTCTCTTCTTCTTCTTCTTCTTCTTCTTCTTCTTCTTCTTCTTCTTCTTCTTTCTTCTTCTTCTTCTTCTTCTTCTTCTTCTTCTTCTTCTTCTTCTTCTTCTTCTTCTTCTTCTTCTTCTTCTTCTTCTTCTTCTTCTTCTTCTTCTTTCTTCTTCTTCTTCTTCTTCTTCTTCTTCTTCTTCTTCTTCTTCTTCTTCTTCTTCTTCTTCTTCTTCTTCTTCTTCTTCTTCTTCTTCGTGTCCTTGGTGTCCTTGTCCTCCCATACTCCATTCTGTTCAACCTGAGATGTCGGTTGATCATTTCCCTAGGTCACACACTTCCCACCAATTAACTTGCGTAATCCCTTTCCTCATCACCTTCAATCTTCACGCTTTTCACCCTCACATTTGTGCTCTCGAAGTGACCCCTCTATGTCTGCAGCTTAAAGGTCAAAGTCTGCAAGAATCTCACAGACATGATGATGACCTTCTGAAGCCCTGTTGCTTTTAAATAACTAATGAAAACTGTCTGATAATCAAGGGTAACAGCTCCAAATGCTTTGAGGGTGTTAAATATGTGTGAGTCTTTAGGTCACACCACTACTCCTCCCACATGCTGCACTCATGAAACATTTATGATTCGGCTTGAGTGGAACGTCACAATGATTAAATAAGTCGATCTCGGCTGCTGCGAAATATCAGCCTGCTGCACTCAACTATTATTTCAAATGTAAGATTGCATTACACTCCCAGGTTAGTGCTATTTTGTAAAGATGACTTCAGCTGCAGAAACAGATACAACTTTCGAGGCAAGAAAACAATTAAATGATGTGCAAGACTTCATTTGTCAACCAGGATAATTAATTAGACTAGATTTAATCACAAAGACAGACTTTTACTTTTACAAGGCTGCAAATCTTGTGGAGCAACTGCAGTCTTGGCGTACTAAAGCTTTTCATTATGCATTGCAGACTTGTTCTAAACCAGGACAAAATAACATCTCACTCCGAGTCTTTATCAAGGAGGAGAGGTGCAGAGCTTACGTTAATGTAATGTATTAGTACAAATAAGACAAGCAAAGTCATTAGATGTATTTATCAGAATCAGGATGAATAGCAAAACACTGGATGCACCTGAAGAATTTCAGTGCTGAAGCAGGGTGGATGTTTCTAACCTCACTGAACCCCATACCTCTGATAGACATTCCCACTTTACCTCTTTTATCTCACCTGTTTCCTGCCTCTCTCTCTGAAACACACACACATTCAAATACACACATGTATGCACACACCTCTTTGCTTCCCTGTGTGAGAGCAGGTCAGCGCTCATAGATCACACAGTGGGAGAGAGGCAGTAAATGAGTCCGACAGTGACTGTGAATGGACTAATCAGTCAATGACAAGGAAGTGTCATTAATGCAGGTCACCAAGATGAGCCACGTAACACACACTTGTCCCCGAGGTCAAGCCTGAGTCATTACAGACACACTCTGTCATGCACCCATCGCCAGAACCACTGCAGCCTAACAGAAAAGGTGCTGTTTTAAAGGTTAACAATCAGATTTAATTACGCTTTGCACAATTTGTTTAAGTGGTGCGTGACTATTTCCACCTAAAAAAGACATGTACAAAACCACCTCCAAACGGCCAGGCAAAGCACAGACAAACACACACAAAATAAGTGTGCATGCACAAGTGATTGCCACAAGGTCAGGATGACAAATCAACAGTGTGTGCATGTGTCTGTGTGTGTGACACTTTTTGCAGCTGTGCACAACACACACTCACTCAAACCGGCAGACAAGTACACATCATATCAAGATGCAAAGCGTGACTCTTGCATCCCGCTGGGGAGCAAATTAACACAGAATGAGACGTGCATGTGATTAGACACAGACATCAAAACACACTGTGTGCACATCTCTTACCGGGCAGGCCGAGGCAGAGCAGGACGCTGTAGTAGATGACAGGCAGTGGTCCGAGAGGGCACCCCTGGGCGAACTCAGAGGGATGCTGCTCTGGGCTCCAACTGCTGTCATTTGGGGAAAAAACAGGGAAGATGTGGCTGTGCTCCATGGCCTCTTCTTTGTCCTCTTCCTCAGCTGAGCTCAGTGTCAAGAAGCCGGCTGGCCACACAAGCAAACCGCCTGGTCGCCGGGATGGGAGAGAGGGTGCTCTGTCCTTGGGTGCCAATCAGCATGAGTGTGTGCACGCCTGGGTTTGCGCAAGGCAACGAGGTGGAGTGTGTGTGATGGTATAGGGGAGACAACAGACTGGGAGATGCGAGAGATGAAATGTGTTAGTAGGTGATGGAGAGAAAGGAGGTGAGAGAAGCAGAGAGGTGAGTATGAAGGTAGAAGTGGAGAGGGGAGGATGCTGCCTGAGTGTGAGTGAGGGGGAATGAGAGCGAGTCGAGAGAGCAGCAGGAGGAGGAGGAGGAAAGAGGAGGGAGGGAGGGAGGGAGCAAAAGAAGGAGGGAGTAAGGTGGATGGAGAGCAAGGGTATGCTGAAGATTAGAAAGTGAGGGAGAGAGACGGAGGCTGGGAGCTGAGGGAGACTCATGAAGAGAAAGAGGGGTTCCTGTTTGAGGGCCAGGAAATAAAAGAGATAGTAAAACTGTTGCAGACAAGAAAAGATAAATGAACTGTGGAAAATGATAGTGTGTGTGCCATTGTCACACTGCCAATCTGTCTCTTTATTGCACATCTCTTTATTTATTTTTATATTCAGTAACCTCATGATTGTTTTGGTTTTTTCAATAATGAGTGGACAAGCAGAATCCAAACAATCCTATTAGCATTTCCTAAACGTTACAGTACACATGTGATCTGTGGGTTTGACGTGGGAGTGGGAGTGGGGGTTGAGACTAAATCTAATTTGCCATGCAGTGTGAATGTGTCTGAATCTTAGTTATAATGTGCTAATGAGCAGAAGGCTGACACACAGTGCTTCTAAAGAAAGACCCTCTTCTGTGGTTTATCAGTCAGTCATTTCCAATAAATGCCTTGGTTGTTTATTGTGAAAAGTGGAATTTATCATTCTATACATGCACACTAGGACACCATCGTGAAAATAACGATAAAGTCCATACAAATCTAATTAATGGACTGTGTTATCCCTCTAACGGTTTCTGCTGCATAATCGCTTTTACTGCCCTAATGAAGGCAATGTAGCTGAAAAATACACAATACAATGCTGGAGAGGAGTTATGGGACCCTTTTGTATAAATTGCTTTTGAAGGTCTACAAAATAAGAAAGCAATTATGACACACTCCAAAAGGAAGTCTTACAAGTGTTTGTTTAGTCGGTTGAACAGCCAACAACATCGAATAATAGGATATGCCAAATTAAAGCAATTTAAGGTGTGTGTACTTTATTGATAGTTAATCTTGTCAGGTCGCTGATTTATGTTTTCTGCTCTCAAGTGCTACTGTCATTACTGCGGAGGAAGAGTGAACACTTTAATATTTAAGGTTTTTTTTCGCCATGGGAAGTCGCCCCCCTCCGACAGATGAAATGTATTACTCACAGCACAAGTCAGATACCGAAAATAAGATACAGTATATTCTGCTTCATCCAACTTGAACAGTCTTGATGTGGAGCAGGCAGTTAATTATACCAGTAGGAAATTACTTGATGAGTATTATGTAGCTTACTAAACACTTTCTTTACAATAAAATCAAACTCAATGATTCCTTGCATTATGAGAAATGCATCCTTTAATAAACACAGGAAACACGATAATGCTATGTTGGAAACTTGTCCATCAAGTAATAACGTTATCATGCTAGCAAGAGCTTCAAAGTATAGTAAATGACTTCCACCATCGATTTATATCCACACGTCATACTGCTACAGAGGTGTTTTTCTCAGCTCTCACATTCATGCCCTGAAAACGAATTCAGTCCTTTTGCCTTCATCTTTCTCCACATGAACTACTGTGCAATCATAGACATGACACGAAAAACATGTCAATTTTATATATTTTTCTTGATATGTAGTCAGACATGCGGATACATATTGTCACTATCATTGCTATCAACAATTTGCAGACTCCTCTGGGCTTTTAGGAGTTGCCCCACATGTGCAGAAAGTGGACACCAGAGCAGCTTAGGCATGAGTATGGTGAAAAATCATGTCCATTTAGAGAGCTGTCAGCTGTGTTTCTGCTCTCTCTGTGCCTCTTCAGCACAATCAAGGCCCGCGCACACCTCTTAGCAGGTTTGAGGAAACACAACCACACTCTGCTCTGCTGTCTGAGTACGATACGGTTTATCATTTAAAAGGTAGAGCATGCCGGTAGTGACAAGGACCTGATGGCTGACAGGATTAAAGACACAAAGACAAAGAGAAGAGTGAAGATTTTTTGAAAGAAAACTCACAAGTTAAAATACTGGCGATCACAAAGGAGGAGCAGAACAATCTGAAAACCTTTCCTGGTGATCCAATTATGGCATCACTTCGGATGGAGGTCACCGTATGAAAAGAAGAATTATTACAGGAGCAGTCCAACAATGGCTAGCCTTCTTCTGCTGAATGCCTCTTGAATTAGAGGTGAGGAAAGGTGAGGAAAGGTGAGAGGAGCGTAAGGAGCAATCACATGCTCTTATTTCTTTTTTTCTACATGTCAACAAACGAGCTGCAGGGGATGCAGGGAGGGGAGCGCCGCGATTAAGTGTTAAATAAAATATGTCCAGCTGACATGAATTGATCACGGAGAAATATGGGACAGGGAAAGGTGATTCTTCAACAGTAGCTACTATAGCTGTGAAAGACCCCCACAGGGGTAATGCCTGCCTATTCTGCAGTACTTAATACAACATCATCATTGGTCCTTGTCGCACAAACTCAATTACATGTAATCTTCTGGCGCTTTGAAATTGGCGTGAAGTGTTGTGTGTGGGTTGTTCTTTGCTGTTGGATTCAATACAGAACAACAGGTACTGTACATATGAGAGGGTATTTTGAATGTGCAAGTATAATATGGTGACTGCAAACTAAACCAGGGCAGGTGATGGTTGTTATGTATAGTTCTTTATGACGCGTGGTTATACCTCCAGCTGACCTCATTACGTCCTGCAGTAATGTATGTAGGAGATTAGCAGAAGGAAAACTGTGCAGTGTATGAGCAACTGTGTGTGTGTGTGTGCGTGTATGTGTGTGCGTGTGTGTGTGTGTGTTATTGACCCATTACATCATCATTATAGACATTATCTGGGGACCCAACACTCACATCCTCAATGTATTCAACTATATCACAGGCGGACATGCACAAACATGCAAAACCAAAGTTGTGTTGTTTCCTCAAATGCCACAACGTTTATTTTGAGTGTTGATATTTGGTTATGTTACTAAGCAGAACAAAGCAGATATACATATGGGGCTTTGAAACAGTTTAAACTTGTGGTTTGAACTGATTGTTGCTTGCGCAAAAATGGCGAACCGGTGTAACAGTCAAAATGACAACATATAGGGATACAAAGAGACAAAGAGTCTGCAGCCATGCGAGTAGTTTTACGAGGATGTACCTGCTAATGCATACAATGGCAAAGCTATAGGCTACTGATGTTTAGCAGGTAATGGTATAATGCTCATTAGATTTATTAGCTATACATTTATTTCCTGAATAAAACCTAAAATCTGAGAAAAAGCAATATTGTGACGTGAATCCTGAAAGTGAGACATGAGACTGCAGACTGGTAGCAGCTTTGTGTGCTTAAAGCTTATAGCTAACTTCGGCATGCTAACATGCTAACCAAGACAACGCTTACATGCTGATGCTCAAAAGGTATTATCTTCATCGTGTTCTCTATCTTTGTTAGGCCCAATACAGCTGAGGCTGGTGACTGGTTTGGTGTTTGGTCGTATTTATATGAGACGTAATGGCAGCATCAGATCAGGGGTTCCCCAGAGTCATAACAATTCATCATCTAGGCACAACTAATATGTTCATGATAATGCATCCAATAATTGTCATGGATATTTACTACTTGATGTATCAGACTCTAGAGTGCTCGCCAAACAAGGGACATTGCAATCTCTCGAGCCATGCTGTTAACATGGTAGTAAACAATGTATAGTAACAAGTGATGAAAAGAAGGTAATGAGATGCAATGAGAATAACTGAGATGCCTACATGCAGGGAGTCCCGGAGATTACATCACCAGTTTGTCAGGTGACATTAATTATAGATGCCTTCTGTGATGCCTGTTTGTTTAGCATGCTTTGGAAATGAAGAATGGGTCAGCAAAGTCACACATAAGCGGTGTGCCACTCTTTCTTTCCTGCTCCCCCTCTAATTTGAAGCCGACACTCAAAGAATAATGAGAGGATTGGGAAGAAATGGGAGCAGAGAGGGCGACGGTAAAAGAGGAAGATGTTGAATAAAACATAACTGGTAGACAGAGATCGATGGATGATTGGTCGAGATATGCAGGGCTTTCCTCTCCCCTGCGTGCAAACAGTGCATGCTCTTACAGTCAACATATAATGTTGCACATGACATGTATGAACACGTGCAACAACAACTTTGGATTTCACCTCAGACCACAATCACTAGGGAAATCACCACTGTGTTAATCATTTACACATGTAGCTGCGGCCCATGTCGGGGCAGGCTCTCCCTTCGCTCTTCCTACCCGTGGGGAGTCTCCCTGGACCGGGCCGTCCTGCTCTTCCCCGGTCCAGCACCGGGGACCAGCTGGTCCGAGCAGGCTCCGATAAAACCTCTGTTATTATTAGACATGGGAAATGGAAACATTTAACACGGCTGCAGCTGAGACTAAAGCCCCACGGCCCTGTCTGCAAATTGCATTGCTCTTACAAACAGTCCTATTGAAATAAAGCCACTGAGGAGGGACTCTGAGTTCATAAAGTGTAGCCTTGATGGCAACGTTTCAGCAGCTCTTATTGGTTGTGGGGTTGATCTTTGCTAATCAAGAATTGCTAATCAAAAAGTTGGACAATAAATATGCATAAACTCTGTGCCTAAAATTGCCTTTCTGCTTTCAGTTTCTCAACAGGCATAGAGCCCCAATGTTGTCATCCAATGTTTGATTTTGTCTAGACTCGAGTGTGTTAGTTTGCAGTTAGGCTTCTGTAGTGGACATTTTTATTATATCCTTATATGCTTAAACCAAATGCTTCTCAACACATTGTAAAACACCTATATCATTTCCTGAGATGTGCTGTTTTCTTCTCATACTCCACTGTGGGTTTATTCCCAAGCACTTCAAGGCCACAGAGCTGATTTGGCTACTAGGTTGAGACTCACACAAAGTCACACAAGAACTTCCCTTTTCTGAGAACCGTTATACTATCTACAGCTCAAGGACAGGTGTCTAATGACAATATGACCATGTGAAGACAGATTTCTGAACTTCCCACTCTTTTTTGTATATAAGCTTTGCTATTTTTTATATCTGCGCACACTCACGCAGACTATTCTATACTCTGTGAGACCTGTGTCTATTTTATTGTATCTTATGTATTTGAAGCTTCAAATAAATAACCAGAAAGACAACTCTGTCTGATTCACCATTTATTTGTTTTTGATCACTCTGACTTGTACTCTCCACAGTGTTGGGTCTCAGATTTCCATAACAATTGGCGTTGTCGGCAGGATCTCTGCAAGTTTGATTGGGGACACCTACGGACGCTGGTGGTCGCGCGCTCCAGGATCCTCGGATCCTCCTCTACCTCAACAGAAACCGTACGGGACGAGAGGACCAGCGCCGGGGGTGGAACCGATTGACTTCACGAGATCCAACAAACTCAAAAGGCTTTCAATACTCGGTGAGATGTACAGTGTCTAAATTGTTTAAAGTTAAACATAATTAAACTCCATGGCATTTATGAGAGGGACTGCTCGAAAGTAGGATATTTGGGATATCCGTCGTGATTTGGGATTACGATTAGTTTTTGTGTGATTTGTACTGTGAAACAAATATCACATCATCGACGGATGAAAAAATAGTGTTTTGGTAACACGGGGTGTTTTGGTAACACGGGGTGTTTTGGTAACACTTAAAGACTTTGTTATGGGAGCAAAGCAAGTGTTTTGGTAACACTTAAAGACTTTGTTTTGGGAGCAAAGCAGGTAGGGGACGAGTACACTCTCCTGAGGGTCCGATTGTAGATGTCATGCGAGCAAAAACATGGTGAAAACAGTCTGTCTAAATTAAATAGCTGGACGGAAATGTTCGGATTTCCAAAGGGAGGTTTTTTGAGTAAAAGTAAAAGTAGAAGAGGTTTTTTGAGTAAATAAAAAATCAAGAACCTAAAGAATAAATTACAAGAACATGAAGATGGAATGAAGGGTAAAAATAAAGTTAAAGTAAAAGACTTATAGAAAGCTGGACACTCACAGAAAGTGTTTATAATACTGGGAGGATGAAGCAGAATGCCGTGAAAGAAGGCAGTTGGCCTTGGGCATTAAAGAAAATATTAAGGTTGAAGATGAATGTGAAGAAAAGAAGGAAAATAAATTATTTCCAAAACCATGTAAACCCCAGACATCTCTGTGTCCTTCAATTGCAGGCCTGAATGACCTCTCCTCGACTGGGTATCCTTTCCCTCCCCCGAGGGTACAACCCTGGCAATCCGGCTGGCCCACGTCAACCACCTCCACCGCCACTACAAGCCCCAGCCATGCAGTCCGTCAACTCCAAGCTCGCCACCCCCATCAGCCCCAAGTAGATGGGGACAACAGCGGGATAAACAAACCCGATGCCCTAGGGGACCAAGCAGGTGTTTGGGGGACACACCTCAGTAATGCCTTTCTCAACGGACTCACAGACACAGCGCAAGCTACGCAGAATGCTGGCCGCTCACAATACCGAGGGAGAGGCAGAAGAGGTTTTCCGAGGCAGAAGACGAGAAGCAAGACCTTCATTTGACGAAAGATGTTTCAAGTGTGGCAGTGTTGAATATTGGATTATGGGACTGCTCACAGAACACTGGCAGTGGAGGCAGAGGGGGACAGCAAGGACGGGGCCATCATTCACAATCAGACTGACCTACACCAGATGGGGAGGAAGGGGCCCGATCGAGCGAGACGGAAATTCAGCCAGCAGCACCAGGGAAGTGACACACACACACACATCATGCTATTGAGTAATTGGAAAATATAGAAGACATGTCTGTGGTTAAAGAGGGTACATATTTTGAAATGTGACAGTGAATGTTTGCATTAAGAAATGTCCCACACTGACTTTGGCTGTCATGGGTGTTTATGTTCCATTTTTTTGGTTGATTCTGGGGCCACACATTCTGTGGTAAAAAGGGCAGATTTGCCTGATTGCAAATTTAGTGGTAGATGTATTCACTCAATAGGAGCTGCTGGGTAACTGTAAAGGAGAAGTTTTTGTATCACTTCAGAGTAGAGATAACGGTGATGATAGTCATCCATTTGCCACATCAGTCAAAAACAGTTTCCTTTTATCATCTGTCTGCCCAATAAATTTACTGGGCAGAGATCTGATTCTCCGGTTCGGCTTAGACCTCATTTTTCCACAAATGAGGGTCTTAAAGTCCGGCAGCCATCTCCTACGATGGTTAAAAACTGGCATTTGATGATAAAGAACTGGTGAATGTGTATCAAATGGCTGCTGACATTGCTGCTGGCGTTGTTGCGTTTGACTGATCAACGTGTTTTTCCACCTGCTGTGTTCATGGAGGCTTCTCATTTGCATTGTACTGCTAACGTTGTTGATGATCCGTGTAAATGCTATGATGAGAGTTTTCTGTTAGAATGTGTGAATGATGAGCTCATGCTTAAAACTATGTATTGGAGTTTGCTGCGCAGCGCTGGTTCTGTTGCACTCACACCCACACAACACAAACTGTGTCAAATCCCAGGGGCGGTCCACACATTTCACTAGCCAGGGGCCCCATTGATAGATGGAGGGATTTGGGTCCAATCGTTAAAGATTGGGAGTCAGTCACTGATTGGGCACCTACACACAAAGAATATGTCATGTACTCTATGTCACGTGACGTGTATAAGATGAAAATGTGCACGAACATAGCCGTTCTGCGCACATTGCTGTTGGTTGAGGATGATGAGGTAATTCTCATATCTCATATCTATTAGCTTCCTGCCGCGCTTTCAGATGTGCCATACTCACTCTGGGCAGCTCACAGATATGACGTAGGGTTAATGTCCACGTTCCGTTCAAATCAACCCCCGTACCCATTGAAACGTGAAGCTGTTGATGGCATTCGGCCAGTGTTTACCTCTCTGCTTAAACAAGGGGTCATTATTCCGTGTAACGATTCCGGTACGCACTCCAGTGTTTCCTGTCAAAAAGATCAGAGACAAAACCTCCTGACGAGTGGAGATTTGTCCAGGATTTACGAGCTGTAAATGCAGCTGTGCATGCACGCTCGTCCCGAATCCTTATCTGATTATTTCCCAAGTTCCAGCCTCTGCAACATTTTTTACTTTCATAAGATCTCTCAAATGCATTTTTCAGTGTTCCTGTACACAAAGACAGTCAATTTTTGTTCACATTTGAATATAATGGTAAACCTTACACATTCACACGTTTGTGTCAAGGCTACTGTGAATCTCCTACTGTGTACAACCAGGCATTGTGTACAAGTTTGGTCTCTCTCCAAGTTTCTAAAGGCACTGCTCTCATACAAAGAGAGAGTTGATGACCTCAACTAGCTGATACCATTTCCTTGGTCACAAGGCCAGTTTGTCAAAACTCCAATATGTACAAAGAACAGTTACATTTTTGGGTCATGTCATTTCAGGAGAGGGGAAAAGCGCTTTCAAATAAGCGTATTGCATCATTGGCTGCTCTGCCAAAACCTGTCACTAAGCGACAGATGATGTCATTTTGTGTTCATAACACACGGCTGTTGTTATGCTTGCTGTGATGTTACATTAGTCTGTTCTCTGCTTGTAATTATGCCGTTACAAGCTTCAAAGTTGTATTTATCATCTGAATTTGCCGAAACAAGTTTAATATTCGGAAAGCCAATACTTTATTTATTCGAAAACAGATGAAAATAAACTGTCTTTTATACAAAATGGAAGTATTATACAAGTAAAACTACATGTTGCTTTAATCCCATGTAATTGTAGAATGAACACAGTCTTCCTTTGTATAAGTCAGGTGTCTTGAGTAGTCAAAATTACCTACAAATCATTGTACACATTTGTAAATATTATTTTCCACTTGTTACCATTGTGAGTCTATTTTTATGCAGCGCTGCGTGATTTTGTAGCTACAATTCAGACTAATACACTACCAGAGGTGGAATAAGTACTCAGATATTGTACTTGAGTAAAAGTAGAAGTACCAGAGTGTTACAGTAAAAGTCCTGCATTCAAAATGTTCCTCAAGAAGAAGTAGAAAAGTATTATCAAAATATAATACAGTAAAAGTATTCGTTGTGCAGATTGGTCCATTTCAGAATAATATATATGATATGTTTTATAATGATTGATCATGAAAGTGTTCTCAAAGCTGGTAAAGGTGCAGCTAGTCTGAATGACTTTGTATACTGCAGGGTAGCTTGTGGATTTACTCCAGGTGGAACTAAAGTCTGATTTAACACTTGATTAGATTTCACATCATTCATCCACATCTGTGAAGTAACTAAAGGTATTAAATACATGTAGTGAAGGAAAAATACACCATTTACCTCTGACTTATGTTCACTGCCAACCTAAAAGTACCTACAAAAATAGTAATCAATAATGTATTGAAACGTTATTTGGCTGATTGTTTTTATATCGGCTCAGCCAGGTTATATGGGAGGCCCAGTCTACGTACACTTTAAAGGCAAATGCCTTGGCTTAACAAAGAAAATCAAGGCAATAGGTTGCATCAATGGTTATTGAGTTAAGACAACTTCTAATGAAATGGTGTTAAAGCAACAAAGTTATTTGAGTTAGGGGAGAAGGCTTTTTCCTCTACAATCAGAGGTGTTTTCAATTACCACTTATTTAATAATTGGTAGCATAAACACAAGTTTTTAAGTTGATTACTCCAAAAGTTCCAACTTGTTTTACCGTATGATTTAAATGTAATCTTAAGTTGTATGTACTTAATTACCACATGTTGAACATGAACACATGTTTTTAAGTTGACAACCATTTATAAATTAAGTTGCTCCAAATATATTGTATTCAATAGTTTTTTTCTCTTAGCTTTTTCATGTTTTTGCCTTTAAAGAAAGAAATTAATTGATTCCACAACAAAAATATTAGGCAATTCACTTTTTATTTTTGAACTGCAGTTGTTTATTTCAACACATGATGTTTCAATCAGGAGAGACTTCATTTAGTTTGAACATTTATTGACACATACAGTATGATAAGGTGCATGAACATCTGAAATCACAGCTGACTGCAGGAGAGAGGAGAACCATTTTATAGTTTGGCTGCAGCACGTTGATTGGAACCATGCATTTAATTAAGTGGAGGTGAAAGGTCGCCTGAATTCGTTTTTAGGACGTACAGATCACTCATTTTGAAATATTAAACTTAGTTTTATTTTCTTTAATTTTTCATCCTCGTGTAGAATGCTATCACGAAACACACATTTGGTTGTTTATAGCATAAAGAACATCTGATTTAATGTGAGGTAGGGAAATAATCATTTGAGTATGTGCATATAAATATGTAATTTACAACAGCTGTAAGATACTTGAAAAGCTTGAAAATGCACCTTGAAAATGCTTGAAAAGTGCTTGAATTTGACTTTGGAAAAGGTGTAAGAACCCTCTTATGCCTTTGCCTGAAGACGGTGACGAACACGACTGTGTGCACACCTAGACCGGACTGAAAAGACGTTCCTCTGACCAACACTGACCTCATTTTGTATGTTGATGGATCTGCCTTTCGCGACCAAGGGGGCACTAATCGGGTGGGTTTTTCTGTTGTTTCAGATTCTGCTGTACTCCGTTCCGGACCAATCCCATGTCACCTCTCAGCACAAGCAGCAGAGCTCATCGCACTAACTGAAGCCTGCACGTTTGCAGAAGGCAAAACCGTGACTATTTACACTGACTCACGCTATGCTTTTGGGGTAGTACACGATTTTGGGGCTATTTGGAAGTGTAGACAATTTCTTAAATCTGATGGCAAACCAGTACTTAACCATGTACTGGTTGCAGGCTTACTAGACGCCATTCTGCTCCCATCTGAAGTTGCAGTCTGTAGATGTGCCGCACACGCAAGCAGTACAGACCCAGTTTCCCTAGGAAATGCGTCTGCTGACTCAGCCGCAAAGGCAGCTGCTCTGATTCCTCTCGCACCTCACGCACAATCATTTGTTAAAATCCCTGTCTCCTCCTTCACTGACAAAATGTCATCACTGACTTCCATGCAGCAGCTAGCTACACCAGTTGAGAAGGCTCAGTGGAAGGCTGTTGGGGCTGCTTTTGACCCAACCTCCAGCATCTGGGTTGGTCCAAATTCCAATCCATGTCTCCCAAGACATTTCTTCCCTCATTTTGCTAAGTTGACACATGGGTTGGATCATGTGTCAAAAGGGGGGATGTTAGAGGCTATAAATCAGGAGTGGTTCACAAGGGGGTTCACAGTAACAGCTCAAAAGCACTGTGAAGCATGCCTAATTTGCATTATGCAAAATTCTGGTAGAGCAGTAAAGGTTACAGGACCCGGAGCACATCCACCTCCCACCAGGCCATTTGAGCACCTAATGCTGGATTTCATTGAGGGTAAGAAGCACTGTCTGGTGGTGGTTGACATGTGGTCCAAATGGGTTGAAGCTTTCCCAGTAAAAGCACAGATAGCAAATGCTGTGGCAAAGGCACTACTGAGGGAAATCATTCCTAGATGGGGACTACCAGACAACATTTCTAGCGACAACGGTTCACATTTTGCTAATGAGGCCATTACGCAAATAGGAGAATACATGGGCATGGACATCAGAAAGCATTGTGCTTATCATCCACAGAGTGGGGGTGGGGTGGAAAGAGAGAATGGCACAATAAAAAACAAACTAGCAAAATGCTGTGCAGACACAGGTCTGTCATGGACACAAGCTCTGCCCATTGTGCTGATGTATGCGGATGCGGAAAAGAACACGGAGTCAACTCAGCCCATTTGAAATCTTTTTTGATTGGACTCAAGGCTCCAGGATGTCCTCTTCCCTCCACAACTTTGTGTGAGGATGCTATGTTGTCCTATTGTGTTAACCTGTCATCCACTTTAGCAGACATCCGACGTCAGGTAGCCGCAGCCTTACCTACCCCTGCCACTGGTCCACTTCACCATCTCCAACCCGGCGACTTCGTGCTGGTCAAGGATTTCCGGAGAAAGAGCTGGAAATCCAATCGTTGGCAAGGTCCCTACCAGGTGCTTCTTGTCACCCAGACAGCGGTCAAGGTCGCCGAGAGAGCTACGTGGGTCCACGCCAGCCACTGCAAGGTCGTAGTCACAGGAAAGGAGAAACCGTAGAAGCAGACGACAACAAGTGACGTGTCCTAGTCACCAACGGAAGCAGACGACAACAAGTGACGTGTCCTAGTCACCAACGGAAGCAGACGACAACAAATGACGTGTCCAAGTCACCACCAGCACCACACTTGCACTACATACACCAAAACACACTACACACAAGGTGTCACGAGCGAGTGCCAGCTGAGCGGTTCCATATGCTCTCTGGTTCCTCGTTTGTGTTACCGGTGTGCGGAGTCTGACTGTCCGTGTCACAAAATCGACCGAGGGAATACACACACACACCCCATGGAGCATTTCCCCCTCGTGATGAGGGCTCGCCTGGAAAGGCGACAACACAACCGTGAGCAATGTGGATACTACTGGAGAGCCTGGACAATCATAAAATGGTTCCTCTGCATACTTGCCATGATAGTTGTGATAGGACTAGTCCTATATTTTATGTATCCATGGTCAGCACACAGCATGTCAGCCAAAATCGAGGTATCTAAGAGGTACATGGGAAAAGCAGGGCGAACCACATGGGCAGAGGGGCTGGTCAAGACAGGGATTGGTAACATTACTCTAAGAGATGGGGAAGATAGCACAGTGCAGTTAGACCCGTGCGACTACATGCATTGCCCCGACCCTAAGAAACTGGGGTGGGCAGATGCCTACATATGCTATGTCGAGAGTGACAGTCACACCGCCACTCACTGCTCGGGGGGCTGGACTTTTGTTTTATGGACCACCGCGTACACCGATTGGGGTTATACCCTATGGGACGACAAAACAAACATCAAAGAGAGATTGTCTATCTCCAAGGTCAATTCATCAAGCCCCGTTATCCTGTTGCAACTACAGGCTGCCCAGATATCAGACAAGGGTTATTATGTTGTTTGATGTATGTATCCGGCGCCGACCCGTGTTGCACATTTTACATAGACATCGCGCCCAAAACTCAGACCCCCGAAAAGGGTAAGCAGCCTTTGACGCAACTGTTGACATCCATAGGTACATCTATATTTCTAAAACGTAACCTATACATAGGCAATAACGACCATAGCAACATTGATGTATGCCAGGCCGCTTCCCCCACCATGCAGTAATCGGTCTAACTCCCCTCTGCGTGCATCTACGTTTGATACCACATACGCAAAGTACCAACCCGTCAGCCATGTGCACCCCAGCCATTTGAGAGGGATGAAACACAGCCTCTGCATCCAGAGAGTGTACCACAAAACGTCTCTTACACCACCTTATTTTTTCCTAGGCACTACTACTGGTCGTACTCGTATCCTACGGAACACGTGCAGTTACGGTGCTTACAATATCTCGTATTGTCGCATATTCGGTGTCCCTGGAAGAATCCTTTCTAACGTAGCATTCTCTGATGTTAACCATATTTCCCTCCAACTGGCCTGGCCCAGTGATGCTGGGTTTAGCGCGCCACAAGATTACGTTTGGTTGTGCGGCGACAAGCTCTATCAAGTTCTGGCTCCCCTCTGGATAGGTACATGCACTCTAGTGGATTTGAATCCAGCAGTCACTGTCCTCACGTCCTTAATGTACACGACACATCATTACCCAGAGTTCCAACACCACGACCACCACAAGGTAAAAAGAGATCTGACGTCCGCTGGAGCTAAATTCATTGGCGGCCTGTTCCCATGGTGGGGTACAGTAAACAATGCCCATAACATAGATACCTTACACGTTCGGCTAGAGAACCTCACTTACGAGACGACGCAAGGCTTCCAGGCATTGCCCCCATTCATAATAGCCTCTAGGAACATGCTCATGCAGCACCAATTTGCTCTTGACCTTTTGTTCGCCTCAAAGGGTGGCCTGTGTCATGTGATCGGTGACTCCTGTTGCACTTACATTCCCGACGCCACCAAGAACATCACTGACACCGTGCTGCATCTTAACAACCTGTTAGCCGACATGAAAGCGGATGACATATCCAACGCAGGTGGCTGGGACTGGTGGTCCTGACTTACATCGGGCGGGTGGGAAGCATAGCTGGCTAGGATAGTTACAACCCTGACGATCATTTTCGGCCTATTAATCAGTTGTACCTGTTTGATTATCCCAATACTGAAGAAGTGCGTTTCCAGCATGGTATCCTCAGCTTTCGTTCAGTATACTGCTATTCCATTACACGACAATCCTTTGCACCACAGCGAGATAGACCAGCTAGAATCAGAAGAGTCTGATTCCGACACTACATTATAATCAATATAATCATGTGAATCGAGTGTACCCTCCTCTTATGCTTACATTATATTGGAGTCTGTCCTCCACAAAAACAGCCAGTTTTCTATGATATATTTGTGATGTGTTTACTTAAACCAGCGATGGAGTGTATTCATTGATGTGTTATATCAGTCTATCCTGTCATTTGTTTTTTTATTGATCAAGTATGATCAAAAGGGGAGAATGTAGTGGACATTTTTATTATATCCTTATATGCTTAAACCAAATGCTTCTCAACACATTGTAAAACACCTATATCATTTCCTGAGATGTGTTGTTTTCTTCTCATACTCCACTGTGGGTTTATTCCCAAGCACTTCAAGGCCACAGAGCTGATTTGGCTACTAGGTTGAGACTCACACAAAGTCACACAAGAACTTCCCTTTTCTGAGAACCGTTATACTATCTACAGCTCAAGGACAGGTGTCTAATAACAATATGACCGTGTGAAGACAGATTTCTGAACTTCCCACTCTTTCTTGTATATAAGCTTTGCTATTTTTTATATCTGCGCACACTCACGCAGACTATTCTATACTCTGTGAGACCTGTGTCTATTTTATTGTATCTTATGTATTTGAAGCTTCAAATAAATAACCAGAAAGACAACTCTGTCTGATTCACCATTTATTTGTTTTTGATCACTCTGACTTGTACTCTCCACAGTGTTGGGTCTCAGATTTCCATAACAATTGGCGTTGTCGGCAGGATCTCTGCAAGTTCGATTGGGGACACCTACGGACGCTGGTGGTCGCGCGCTCCAGGATCCTCGGATCCTGTTGGGTCTCAGATTTCCATAACACTTCTCCTATTGATCACAGCAGGTAGCATCCCATTTTGTTTGATCAGGGTGCACATCATAGGGATTCCTGATTCTGATCACACCGCTGAGGAAAAAAGCAGTGATACTGTAGTGCTAAATATTTTTTCATGCATCTGTGCCTGGTAAGGGCCGGACTGGGACAATAAGTCAGGCCGGGAATTATACACCCAGCCAGGCCACTACCAGTTTTTTGTGCCATTTTGCTGGATTTATTTGTCAATATTTACAGCGTTGCTGCCCATAGTGATAGCCCTCTAAATCTACTACCCAAAAATAAACATATGGACATGGGTTACCATTTTAAAAAATTTGCAAATCTATTTAGGAACCTATTCATGTGAACATATTTTACGTGGGGGCGGACCTCAAATCCTATAGGGGGGTCAGGGGGCATGCTCTCCCGGTAAGATTTTTTTTTTTAAATGAAATGTTGGACTTAAATGCATCAATCTGGTGCACTTTGAGGGGGAAATAAAGAGACTACACCCATATAAAACATAACTGTATACATTTAAATAATCATAAAATCATAAGAACATGGCCATAACCAATAACATATCATATCCAATATGAAAAAACATTGAAACTTGTTTATTTATTTGTTTTTGGTTCATTTATAGTTGTGAGTGTGTATGGGCTCCTGAACCAGCCTCTCCTGTCTCCCTCCTCTCCTCCCTTCTCCTCTTTGAGGCAGAAGCAAAGACTAGTTTTAGCTCTCAACAAGTTTTAAAAGTGTATCTTACCTTTTTTCACCTAGTTAACGTTTTTTTATTATTATTCATGCATATTTCACTAATCTCAGTCCCCCCTCAAATGGAACATGTGTTTACATAAAGGGTGACCAAACCGTTTGAGACCCACAGAGATAACTTAGACTAAGTTAACTATCTAAACACTCAGAGAGTCCTTAACCTCACCTGAGCTGTAGTTATCAGTCTCTCAGTCTGACTGGAGAGGACTCTGCCTTGTTGTTGAAAAAGTTCCTTATATCCGTTAGCGCAGCTAGCTAGCACCAGATGCTAACAACAACAATACACGTAACCGGTGCGCGCACTTTCTCTCTCGCTCGCTCGCGCCACACATACACTAACAGTGCTTCTCAAACTTTTTTCAGTAATGTACCCCCTTTGAAACATTTTCTCAGCCAAGTACCCCCTGACCGACCCCGAACATTTTTGATCGAAAAACCCTATACAAATAATTCCAATATAGTGATGTTCCCTCAGTGTGTGATTTATTTACTCCTTCATGCATGCATTACAACAAACTAAGGATATTTTTATTTTATGCAGGAAAAATAATAACATAACAAAAAATGTAAACAGGAGTTTTTCAATTAAAGTTTAACAAACCAATGAACAAAATTATATATTATGCAAAACTATACAATACACACATTTGACATGTTTATATGAGGTGGTTCTAGGAATATTTTATGTAAAATTGTGTTTTCTATTTAACTTATTGTACTAAGATTATTTTTGTAATCATGCATGGTATTTTCTAAATTAACTTTTTTTAGTTTTTTTTAAATCTCACGTACCCCCTGCACTACCCCAACGTACCCCTAGGGGTCCGCGTACCCCCATTTGAGAATCACTGCACTAACACACACCCTCCCGAGCTTGAATGACACACAGAGACCAATCGAGGGCTT